CACCCCTTTTTACCCATATTCCATACACTAATTGGTAGAACAACTTAAGTGTTGTTGGTTAAAACTGGCTGGGACTACTGTGTGCACTAAACCATGGAGATACTAGGTATGTAGTTCAACCTCTGAGATATTTATTTTCCCAGTCCTATTCGATTAAGTTGCTCTTCTTCCTCCCCAATTTGCTGAGGATGGTCTTCGTGGTACTGCCCAATTCACTACCAGAGGAAATGCTGCAATGCAGATACAATTTTGTAGGTCCATATGGTGTAAGGTGTTGGACATCTGATCGTATTGTTTGTGTCCTTTTGCAAAGGATTTTACTTACGTTTGCCTCTTTCCGTCCAGCAGTATAAATGGGTAGGATGGTATGGCATTAAAATGTATGGGTTGTGCTTTTAAAGCAGCATGACTAGAGATGCTCGTCTCAATGAGTGGAGAAAGTTGCACAAAATGGGCAGGTTTGCCAACTCAGTATCCAGTGACCACGGAAATAATTTCCTAGTTATTGGACTAAAACCAATTAATTTACTTCACCTTTGATTTAAAAAAAAATATACTATTTTTTAAATGATTTCTTAGGTTAATGTTCTGGGTGGATTATGAACGTCCAGCACTTATCGAGCGTGCTCTTATGGACGGTACAACCCGGGAAGAAGTCATCAACTCCAACCTTGGAGAGCCATATGGCTTGACCATTGACTACACTGCAAACAGAATTTACTGGACAGATAATCAAGTAATTAACATTTTTTCTATTTTTTTTTTCATAATATTAAAAGGGCCCATTGTCTATTTAGCCATTGTCATGATACGCCCATGTGGAATTTTTAGTCTAACCGAGGTCAGAAAAAGATGTATTTGTCCATTAAGTGATGCGTCAGCTATTGAAGTCACATTCTGAAATATTTACTCTTGCATAAGTGCGGCATTTTATAAATAAATTAGAATATATCTAATAATCGCCAGTGTACATATTCAAGAGAACTGTCTCTACAAACTTGCACATAAATTTTATTGCTAATTTATTTCACTGTCCAGATTTCCAAATTTTCAACAAAGATCTGTTGTATACCTATATAGTTGTGATGTGCCTATGTTAGTAATATTTTTTATTACTGCAGCTTGATAGGGTCGAGTCTGCCTCATTAACAGGAAGTGATCGTCAGCAGTTAGAGGTGGCAAGTATCGCCAGTCCATTTGGTATTGCTGTGGACAGTTGTGAGTGGACTTACATATCAGAAATCATAATATAATTTCTATATGAAAATATTGTACAAATGGTTATCCTCATATACCAAGGCATTTACTGTATTCTCTTCTCAAGTCATGTAATGATCCATGTACTACAAGAAATTTTCCCCCTCCCGACTTAACCTGTTTTTTTTTTTTGGATTGTTCCATTCCATTCCATTCCAAAAATTGTAATAATATACAGTAAAACCCCTCCTTTGGGACACCCCAATAAGGGGGACTTTTTTGGGTCCTGAATGTGTCCCCTTAAGAGGGTTCTACTATACGTAATGTACAGTAACACTTTTTATTTAGATCACACTACCTATACATACTATTACCCTGGTCGCCTGTGGAGGGGCAAATGTGTATCCCATTCCTTTGTTCGAGCCACCTAGATAGGGTGCTGGGATTGCGTTAGGGTAGTGGTGGATGTTATCCCCCACTGAGATTCTGCATTTTCTTTTTGTTGTGTCATTTTTTTTTTATTTTGTTTATTTTTATTTTTTAAATATTATAATTATT